CAGATATAAAATAAAATATTTAAATAAAGATAATATTGGTACATTTCTAAATAATATTTCTTCATCTGCTTTCTAAAAGTGTGGGTACTATGGAAATTTTTAAACTTAACATGAGCATCATTCCATAATTTCGGTCCGTTTACAGAAATAAAAAATTGGCTTTTGGTTAGTCTTACAAAAGGAACGTAAAGTGGGTTTGAATTTTTTAAGCAATAACTGTGTATAAGTTTATAATCATGAAATAAAGCTAATATAGAGGTTGGGAGTTGGCCTTTTATGTATTGAAACATAAAACACGCAACTTGTAGTTTGTTTAGATCCATAATTTTTAATATATTTAGTTTTTTAAACAGAGGTTCCGAAGACGATGCAAATGAAGCTAAATCAATTATTCTGACAACACGTTTTTGTAGCTTAAGTAATCTATCCAGGTAGATGAATAGTCACAGGCCCATATTAAGTTACAATACTGCAAATAAGGGAGAATAAGAGTATTGTATAAAGTAATTAAAGTGTTGCGTGGGAAGAATAACTTAAGCCTGTTTATTATGCCTATTGATTTTGATATTTTGCGTGCAACATAATTTTTGTGTAATTTCCAACTTAGAGTTTCATCAATGAATACTCATAGAAACGAAGTATCTGATTTACGTTCTATAGGATTTTCATTTAAAATAATGCTAAAGTTTGAAAATTTTACTTTCTTATGGTGTGAATGAAATGAAATGAAAAATAGTTAGTCTTTTGAATATTAGTTAGGAGCTTATTTGCATTGAACCAGGAACCAATTTTTTAAAACTCATTATTAAACGTATTGAACAAAACATTGACGTCTTCATTAGAATAAAAAAAAACGTAGTATCATCGGCGAAGGACACCAATTGGAGGGTGTCACTTATTCTACACAAGTCATTAACATATATTATGAAAAGTAACGGCCCCAAGACCGACCCTTGTGGCACCCCACAAGTTACATCCCTCGTCGATGATTTACATGATCCAACAGAAACAAATTGTTTACGATTATTCAAATAACTTATAAACCATTTTAAAGCAATACCTCTAATACCATATCTAAAAAGTTTTGAAATTAAAATTTCGTGGTTAACAACATCAAAAGCTTTTGATAAATCTAAGAATAAACTTAATAGAAATCTTTATTTTCAAATGATTTAGTAATGTTATTAACGAATTCAAGTGTTGCATGACAGGTTGAGTGATTCTGACGAAATCCATATTGATGGTCATTTAAGATGTTAAATTGATTTAAATAATTAAATAGTCTTTCATGCATAATTTTTTCAAATATTTTTGAAAAGATAGGTAGAATGGATATTGGTCTATAATTTGATAGTGTATCAGTGTCGCCTTTCTTAAATACGGGAATGACTTTGGCCAGTTTTAAAGTATTTGAAACTGTACCGGATGAAAACGAGTTAATGGCGAATGTTAGTTGTTTAATGATGATTTGAGATACACATTTTAGGGTCCTAGGAGATAAGTGGTCATAGCCAGCAACTTTATTAGTATCTATATCATGAATTACTGCAAATACTTCAGATTCATTGACGGGTTTAATTAGTAGGCGACATTGGTAGGAACTGTAAAGGATCAATATCAGAATCTGGTAAAGATTTTTTTATATCTGGGCCAATGGAGGAAAAATAATCATTAAAGTAGTCACAAATAGATTTCTCATTATTAATTATGTTATTGTTGAATTTTAAAACTTTAATTTTGTTAATATTCTTTTTGCTCGGATTAATAACTGAAATTATTATACTCCATGTACGTTTGAGATTGCCTTTTACCAGATCAAATTTTCGTTTATAATAATTAGATTTGGCAATACGACAGAGACTATTGTAGATGTTATTATATTTAGTGTAGTTTAATTTGTGTTTAGAACTTTGCGAAAAAATATATTTTGTATATAATTTGTGTTTTCGTTTACTACATTTCAGGAGTGACGAACTCATCCATGGTTGTTTATGAATTTTGTTTTTCTTTATTCGCCTAGCGTTTAAATGCTTACTATGAACGGAAAAAAATTTGTC